GAAACTTCAAAATAACTATAATAAAAGCGCCTTTTCAAATACCATACAATATCTTAATATACGATGATACTTACGAACATAATATTATTACAACACGAGTATTCCGTTTTAAACATATTAGGAATATTGTTCAAATTATGAAAGCAGCATAAACGAAAACCTACATATCAACATGATAAATGGATTGATTTTCAAAATAATAACTTTATCAATTTCTAAAAATGTTCGAAATCATTTAAACAAGTTATATTAAACAATTTTACCGTGACTTGATTTTCGTAACTAAAGTTCGAACAATTTATATTATTAAACGTATATTAAAAACATGCATTTTATATCAGTTTTAAGCAGTATAATAATATTTGTTTATTATTGCATCATTAGATATATCTAATGATGTCATATCTTAGATAAGGTTTTTTTTTTTTTTATATTTGCCGGTATAATACTTATTCAGTATTTTAAAAAAAGTATAGTTGTTAATTTATAACTATATTTATTTTAATGAACAATATTGATAAATTTTGTGAAAATATATTTTACTTCATATTAAAACCTTTTACTTAAATCCATTTTTAAGATAGCATGTGGGCGACTAGGAGACTAGGGTACTGAATTAAAGCTTGGGTGATCTTTAAGAAACCTCAAGCACCCTCTTAGTTGTGCCAATGTTTTCATCATGTTAGAGAACCTATTTGCGGATTCGTGATTATTTCATCGTCGGCATAATATATCTATGCTTGCTATTGCACATTATACTGCAGTTTAAATTAACCTAATACCATTTATTTTATGAAATCCATGTTAATCGTATTCGATACCGAACAATTTAATAATTTGGCGTAATATACATATCATTATTTCGGTCTAATGGGTTTTCAAACAGCTATTATATTCTAGGAAAATTATACCTAATCATGAATTCATAACAGAATAGATAATATTACTAAAGTATAAGCCAGCATTGGAAAGTTCATAAAACTTAAAAAAAAAGGAATGTTTCAATAATCTGACTTCTTGGACAATCTTAAGATGGGAGTTTATTGAACTTTGTCGGGAAATTTTGGTAAAAATCAAAAGCTTTGTATATTATATAAAAAAAAAAACGTGACGTTGTAAGTTGATAATAGTCTGTAAGGGAAAACAAATTTGATCGTCATTAACTATAAATTACTTGAACGCATTTAATATAATACAACATCAAAGCTTCTTGAAGTTTACAATTTCAATTTATGTTTGGCTCCTTTGATTTCAGAAATAATTTAATATAGTTTAATATAGTTGTTTTATTGCGTATATATAAATTCCGCAGACCTCACGCAAATTAAATTCCACATACTTCCGATGATGTATTATTAATATACTCAAAAATAACGTATTTTAAGTTAGACAGCTTCTATATTATAGTATGGCAAAAGCAATACGAAGTTATGCAATATAATTAGTTACATATTATTATGCTTTGATGAATAAGTGATATTTTATTAAACTGAATTGAGAACTAATGAGCTTAAGTTCATGCTCACAATCACAAACGACGATCATGAATGTCCAGATTGTTATGGAATTGAGGAGAGGAGATTAAGGTTGAAAAAACCATCTTCCTTATCTTGCCACAACATCATGAATATCATATTGATTCCTATTCAACCTCCACTCTAATCATTTGAGTCCACCTATGAAACGATTTTTACTCCCGAATTAGAGTTTATTTAGTCCAAAGGTTGCCGCTGAAATTGTCCAAACGTAGTGGAAATAGATAATATTAATATATATATATATATATTTGTATAACAGACGCCATTGTCTTTATTTTTTGGGAAAAATTTGACAAAAAAACCAAATTTAATGTATCATAAAAAAAAAAAAAAAAAAATTTGGCACTTTTGGTTTTTAATAAAACACGCTAAACATCGAAACGCATCGTATTACTCATGTGTCTCGAGGGAAATAATGTCTAACGAAACAATTTAGAACAACTTTCAAACAACTACGTCTAATAATAATTATGATCTCAAATAGGGTTAACTGAATTAATATTTGGGGCAAGTATATAAAGTATACAGATGTATATATTATATAGGTATGCCAACTTTACGTACGTTTTGTAATATTCATATATTTTGACTGCGGATGAAATTATACGATGAATTACTAAAAAGACGCATTTATCAAACCTTCGATCGGGATGGAATAATGTGTTCGCGAAGAATAGGTAGCGAACGGAAAAATATAATATTATTATCGACGACGACGACAATGGTATAGGTGTACGATGATGATGTCCGGACGATATTTATCGTGATGACGAAAAAACGGGTTTTTAACGATATTTTGTGCGCGATTATATAGCGTGTACACGCTACTACGCTTTATCCCCGGACCGCATTATATTATTACTGCAGCGGCGGCGGTATATTGTATATATTGTTCGAATTTTTTTTTTCCTCGTCTTCTCTTTTTCTATACGTATTATTATCACTTTTTTTTTTTTTTTGTGCCGACCGTCGTCTCAGTGGCGCTCTGCATACAACCACGTTGCACATTTGGGTCAGCGTTATCGTGCAAAGTTCGTCGTCGTCATGACTGCGATGGCGAATGGCCCGAATCCGCAGCCAGGGCTCGGGAATATAAATTTATCTCGTTTGTGGACGGTAAAAAAAAAAAAAAAAAAGTAAATAAATCCTTTTGGCTATGCCCGGAAAACCGTGGAGACACCTACAGACCTTACGCGTCGTACATAATATTATAATATTTATAGCGGTCGCAAAGAAATCCGGTTACTTCCGAAAACGAAAAATCGTTTTCCCGTCTCCGCGGCTAAAACTACACCTTTGTACAAGCTTTCATAAAAAAAAAAAAAATTAATTTATACATCTTTATTTAACTATGCCATCCGAAAAATATTTGCCGAAATATTTACCTATTTACCAAAGGTTTTATGGAGGGAGGGGTACTTTTCGATGACTGCGGTTTTAGAAACTTCGTATCACTTTTCCATCTTCATCACGTGTTTATCAGTGCTCAAATCGGAGGTGATTGCAAGAAGACGGAGCTGGTCAATTGTTTATTCTTTTTAACCTTAACCAATTATTTCTATTGGAACGGAGGAACGGTACGTCTATTCACAAAAAATAGTATTTTCTATAACCCATGCCTATCTTCAATTAATATTTATCTTGTAGAATTGACAATATACGTAAAATAAATAAATGCGTAAACAAAAACGTATCCCGCAGGATTAGACGGTGGTATTACGAGTATATATAGTTTTGCCTTTTTATACATCATATAGCCTATATTATTGAATTACGTTTGAAAAATGGCGTAAGTGAGGCGCAGGGTACGAACAAGTTAGGTGAAAGTACAATGGAAGCTAATCTTTTTTTTTTTTTTTTTTTTTTTTTTTTTTTTAAATCTCACGTTTCCTCTTCTTTTATTTTTCCCAATTCGAGCACCGGTGTTCGTTTAATTGAAATGAAAATTATTTTCGACCGTAAGCGTCGTCGTCGTCGTCGTCGCGTCCGGACAATCTCGCGGCGTGTATACAGAGCGCTGCAATATCTGTCCGTGATAATATATTACACAACAATAATTGATTTATATTATGCATTATGACTGCACGCGCAGTGTACTGTAGGCATTATTATAACATGAACGATGCGAATTTCGAATTTGCGGTCCAATATGTGCCCCGTTACGAACCCGTTCGACCACCCACCTACATAACATTATACAGGTATATCATACATGTATATATATGTATATTATTTAACCGTCTCGCAAATATAATATGTATATACCACGCCGTAAATATCTGCTCGTGTACGCGGCACGTACCTGTACATAATATAATAACATAATCCTGCAATACGAAATAAGCGTAGGTATATGTACTTAGGCCGCACATGCGCACACCGGTAATTCCAATCATCGAACAGCGTCTGTGTATTCTGCCCTCCCACCAAACCCCCACCCCCTCTTCTTCCTCTTTTCCGCCGATAATATAACAGTCTTGACGTGCGAATATACAGGGTGTTCTTGCGGTGTCTGACCCCCTGTATAACGCTCTCGTTAAACACGGTATTACAAAATGTGTATCGCGTCGCGAGGTCGGACTTTACAAAGAGGACGGACCCGTCTCCGTCTTAGAAGCGCACGGATTTGCGTTCGACACGGACAACTATACTGCAGTGTGCCGTTAATTTTCGTACTAGAGCGAATCGACAAAATTATCGAGCTTACCGCAAACATTATTATTTATGCAAATAAGTCCATTTATTTATTTTTTTTCGATATTTCGATATTTAAATGAGATACGAATATGCAAAATATCGCGTTTTAAACACGGTTTATTTGTTTTATATTGAAAAAACCAACATAGTTAACATTTTAGATTCTGAGTATAGCGAAGAATGTATTGGTTTTACTAAGATGTTAATTTATTTCTAGACATGGTAATATTTTTGCCATTTTTAAGCTTTTTATAAAAATTAAAATATTTTTGTTGAAATTTACTTGAAAATATTCGTATAGACTCTATGCATTTTAAATTTGGTAAGAAAATGTATATTTATCTTTTCAAGACGTGGTAAAATTTTCAAAAAATTTAAGCCGTTTTTGAGCTATATATAGACATTTTAATTTTCCAAGTTTTGCAAGTGATTTTTATTCGATAGTTACTCTGTGGTAAAATTGTCAAATTTAATAGAAATTATAGAATATTTAACAGGAGATTTATTAGGAGATTCTTACTTTGCGTTTAAAAAAAGAAAGTTTAAGTTTAATGTAGTATATTTTTTTAAATAAATTGTAATTTTTAATTTTTCATTATTTTTTTTTTGAACATATATTGCTGATTTAAAAACGATGAAGTCAGAATTGAGCGGACTGACTAAGTTTCGAATTTAAAGCTCTTCGGAATTCTGATATCATGCAGATATTATATGTTATGTTAAATATATAAATATAAAAATAATATATGTATTATATATATAAATAAATATTGTCTTCTTTGAAGTACGTTTGACGTAGCTGAATGGTTATACATACCTATTATCAACCTAGGGTAGACGAGTTCAAATCCGTGAATGCAAAATATTTTATTTTCCTCTTTTACCTAAACAAGGAAAAAACAAATGCATTTTGGGTATATCTAGAAACCCAAGCCATCGCTCGCTCGGATTATATTAATCAAAAAATACCCTTCGATTAATTGTTCAAACTTTTCTACTAAAAATATTGCTCCTATGTATTAAGTGTAGCTTAATTTGTCAAAGGTAATTTTATCTCTATGGTAAGTTAGGGAGGTCATTTGTTAATTTCTCAGGAGTTTTCCCATTAAATGGGAAAACTTTTTCTGAAAAAAAATCTGACTGAAGGGGTACTTTTTTGATTTTCTCAATAGTTTTCCCAGTAAATGTAAAAATCGGGAAAAAAATATTAGAAACCGCGAAAAACGCAGGAAAATCGGTATAATATTAAATAAATATTATTAAAGAATATATATATATATATATATATATAATGCCTATTTAATTATTTTACCATAATATGACATATATATTTTTGACAAAACATCACTATCAACTGAATTACGCTCAGAATCGTTTTTTCGTTAGCAATGGTTTATTGTTGCTTACAGATATACATGGAATTATCTATAACAGTGGCTGCACTAGACCCTCATTATCCTAGGACGTCTTTTTTTTTTTTTTAAATTCTATAACATGTAAATTTACTTTAATATTAAAATGTATAGCACAAAAATATCTCGCAGCATAATTATATTTTGCTCGATATCCGTTGCGGCAATGCAGGCTCATCAAGTAACGTTCATCGTGTCCTTGAAATCACGAGAACGTATTGAAACGGAGATTTTCCAGATAAATTTCGACATCGAAAATATCGTCATCGCTATTGCGGTTTAGCAATTTTTAAATGGACGAAAAAAAAAAAAATTAAAAGAAATAGCTATCATTGTAATAATAAGTATCTACACTCGTAATTCCCATGAAACCCACGAAAAACGACACGTAGCAGCCATTTTATATTTTACAGTTCTTGAGACAGTACTAATGTGTTTAAACGAATAAAACTGAAACACTTATAGGTCGAGAGTTATTATAAATATTTTGGCAATTTATAATAAATACATAACAATACAATATAGGGTGACAACAACAGAGTGATCGACATACACCTACGGATGAGGTACGATCGAATATTTAACGTAAATATATCCAGTTAAAGAAATGACACAATTGTTAACTGTGCCACTCTTAGGTAGATGGGAAGTTTGAAAATAAAGGTAGGTACTTTGAGTTATTTAATTTATATAATAACGGTTAATCATTACTATCGAAAATAAGATTCTGAGTTTGGTTGTACATGTTAGGAAATACAGTAATTTTTATCAAAAGTTCAACTTAAAACTATTATTCCAAATGAATACTACATTACACTAAATTCTTTTTTTATCACCAAGTACAGTTTAGATGGAACCTGAGCTAAATTTCCAAACATTTTATTTTAGCTAAAATAATTTTATCCACATAAAACGAAATTCAAGAAAAAAAGATCTGTTTGATTGGTTTATGGTAGAAAAGTTGATAAAAGACATACACACACAAAAATATATGTATACATCATGACAATACTAATACATTCCTCGCTCATCTCGGAATATAAAATATACTCCATTTTGTAACAATCGTTGTTCCGTCAATTTCGAAATTTATATAGTTTTATTAATGTTATTTAACAAATGCATAAAGCGCATGAATCTGCGACTAAAACGGAACACATGCGGGGGACCGAGGAAAATTCCCGTTAATCGAAAATCACAGCGGGTTTCTGTTTTACATCAAAACTTTAAATATAAATACGCGCGAGGTTCAATCTTGGGACCGTTGAAATTTTCATTTTGGACAGGTTTTACACGAAAATATTCATACGTCTCTAAAACGGTATTATACATGCTTCGCTACACGGGTTTATATTCGGAACAAAAACAACGACGGCTACGACAAAAACGAACAAGAGTTGTGCTTAATAATTACATACGATGGTATAGGTACCTATTGTATAACCGTACCCTTATACGTACAATATTGTAGTATTATGAATAAAAAACGCCCCTTCGACTGACTGTAGCTTGGGTCGGTGTAGCGGTGTCTACACGACAAAGGTCAAAGGTTAAATATTAAACATTTAGACTTTTGCGTATAAATAAATATATGTATAGGTATGTAACACTGCAAAATATACTCGTATAATAATATTATATAAGTTCGATGACACTAAAGTTTAACGATAATACAAGTTTTACGTCAGGTGTAGCAGGAGAAAAATTAAAATTTTCGATCATGGTAATCGATATAAATCGATCCTAACCTAACCTTTAGAAAGAAAAGCTTAAATCAAATTTTTTTCCTTTTGTCTTGTGTAATTTTTTCCTGTTTATTTTTTGGTCTAAATGGCATCAAGTTATGTATATTCTGACGTATGTTATATTGAAAATTAAAATATCTTAAATCATTGCGATACACATTTTGTTTGGAAAAAAAAAAGATATGCCATTTAGCAATTCTAAAAATTTAACAATACATGTGACCTTATTGGAAAGAAAATCGCAAATATGTAGCAAATTACCCCAAATCATCGGGGGAGGGGGGGGGGCTTTTTAAATTTATGAAAAGTGATTGTATAGAGTTTATGAATAAAGAAATAAAAATAATTAAATTATTTTTACTCATCTTTATTACAATACAATAATGTTCAATAATATACAATATTAAATATATTATGTTATATATTAATCGTAAATTAAAACAAATCGTATTCCTTTGTTCTGTTATATTATATTCACGTATACGAATACTAGATAAAAATCGTTTACATGATTATTAATTCTCGCTGGTTCGCGGTCCATTAGCGTTTGAAAAATTGTCTCCGTTTCATCGGTGTAAAGTTTTTAAAAGCAGATACGGTACAGTCGAAGCAGCGAAATTGTGTCGACAAAAGTTGCAGTCCAACACTTGGGCTTGAAATGTTCTCGTAAAGGATAAGTCATCTATGGTGTTTCCCGTTCGTTCAAAGAGAAATACGAATTGCAAAACTTTATATTATTTACTTAACGCGAGTTTAATGTGTGTGTGTGTGTGTGTGTGAGTGCATGGCTTACATACGCACCAGATGTATGTATAATATTACGATAAAATCACGTTTTATTTTTATTTCTCGTTTAACCATTTTTTCAAGTGCAATTTTATGAATAACGAATTATTTATCGGGTATTAACATATGTATGAGAACCAGAGTACATAAATACTAATACTCCGCGACGGTGTTAGACGAACCATATTCAATTTGGGTTATTTGATCATTGTTTCCCCAAACTATATCACAATTGTGTCCTCAAATTATGCCGAATAATTTTACTTTTAAAACGGGACGTCTATACGAGTCGGTTACCGATTTAGTCCCCAGGTGGTTGATATAGGTGACTTACGAATTGATTCCGACAAACTGTCATTTTAATGATTAAAAACCATCAACAACAATCTCCTTCCCATTAGACACTTACCTAAGACTGTCTAGAAAATTCACTGAAAGTCCGCACGTAATGGGGTTTCAGTCGTTGGAAAAAAAAAATACTGGTTTTTACTATTTATATCAAAACCCTAAGGTTTTAATCAAACCCGAGGGTTTGAATTCGACGGGTTTTAATTTTGAAAACAAATTTTAATTATTTTACAGGTTTACGATGATTTCATAATACGAAAACAATCCAAATGTTACCCTGATTAAACTTATTAGTAAAACCTATTTTTATTTACGGGGACCAATTTTTTTTTTTTTTTTTAACTTATGAACCAAATTTGTGTTTCCCTTTTAAGACAATCTATAAAAAAAAAAAAATATATATGTATATACATATACATATACATATATATATATATGTATATACATATACATATATATATATATATATATATATAAATATTATATATATATAAATATAACCCTGTATACGTGCGTTTCAAACGCTTTTTGTTTCTCGTTTATTATTCGCATAGTACATTCGTGACGTAACGTAATTAAATTTTTAATCGTACGATCTGTTTAGTATATTCTTAAAAACGAGTTATATGTCTTTAAACCATTTGATGTGTTTTTTTCCGGTTTAAAAACGCACTCAAGCATCAAAAAAATGAAACTAAAAATAAAAATGCATATTAAAAGAGATGTAATTAAATATTATCAAAATAAAGAAAATAGGGGGGGGGGAAGGCGTAAAAACTTTGAAAGAAAATCGATAGACTTTGTCCTGTACGATTGTAGGCACATAATATAGATTTGTCGCTCGAAGAAATTTAAAATATTTTCCACATCTCTGGGACATTTTTGGGCAACAATAGGTAATACACTCGAGTGACGATAAACACCAAATAATAGGAAATTATCGGGATAAACAATATCGCATTAATTACTGAGCCGTTATTACGTTATCATTATACCACTCGGGAATGATGTAAATTATAATTACTATTATTGTTGCAATTATATATTATAAGTGAGACGAACCACCACAGCCCGCAATAGTTCGACGGCACTCGTGGCACACCCATAATGAACCCGTTTATATGTAGGTCACCGCGCCGACAAGGAAAAATCTAGCGCCGCCTAACCTAACTTAACCCAACCTAACCTAACCTTAGCTAACCTTTGGTCGCCGAAAACAAATCGACGACGAGCACGATTTAATACACCGCAGAAACGGCCGGAAACACGGACAGCTGTGAATCGATTCTATTACATTATAGAGTCTGAACCCGCAGGTCGAGATTACCACCCACGGAAACGTCTGGAAACCTAATATTCGGGTTATACCAGACGATATTGCGTAGTTTCAGGGCAAAGTGAATTTGTTTTTTCCATTTTTTTTTTGACCATTACTACAAAATCCATTTTTAGAAAAAATGAATGTCCACACCTCTAAAGATGCGGATTTCCGACAGACAATACAACATTAGTGTAATAGCATTTTTTGAGTCGGGTGATAAGCCAGTTTTATAAATTTCAATTTCTTTATGGAGGCTTTAACTTACCGATGCTATTTTTTTCATCTCTGTGTAATCATACACGAAATAGTATTATCATTATCTGGCTGCAGCAGTTCAACGAGCTCCATTCGAATATTATTATCAACGCCTAAACCCGAGAGCTATGTCGGTTTTTTTTTTTTTTAAAAAAAAATTTGGAATCCCGCAGGCTGGAATAGTCAGATGAGTGCGCATATTGCTATATTTTTGCGAACGATATATAGAGTCGTTTATAGGTCACGACGAGAAAATCGCTATGTGTATTATTTGTATACGTCATTGTTATAATAATATTATTTTATTATGCAAACGAGGCAATCCAACT